CACCTTTTGTTGCATGGCATATCTTTTTCTTACTCCTTTTAATTTCTTATGTTTTAGATATTTCTTTTGAAATAGCTTTTAGTTGGACTTTCTTTTATCTGATAACCTTTGTCTTTTAATTGGAGCATTTATTCCATTTACATTTAGTGCCATTACAGATAAATTTGGTTTTAAATCTATTATGTTGCTAGTTGCTTTCTATTTGTCCCAACTGTTCTTCATTAACTTTGTCTTCTTTCTTGCTTTCTGTTACATGAAGCATTTTTGTGATGATTCCACTGCCTCTCCATTCACTTAGAAAAATATTCTTTTAAATATTAGTTCAGTGGTTACCATAGAGACTAAAACATGTATCTTTGACTTATCAAAGTTTAATGTAAATTAGTAGTTTTACCTCTTTCTTGAAAATGTCAGGATGTTAGTATATCTTTCATTTACCAGCTTTCAATATGTATGGAATTATTGTAATGCATTTTTAATTACTTACATATTTTAAATTGCATGAGACATTGTTATTACTAGATTATATTTATTTAGAGTTTCCCACATAATTACCCTTTACGTTGCTTTTCATTCTTTCCTGCATCTCTCATTGCATTATTTTGGTTGTTCATTCTTTCTCTCCCTGTCTTTTTCTTCATCTTTCCTTTCACTGTCTCCTCCAATTTTCTCACCCTCCCACCACCCACTCACACCTAGACATAGTTGGGTTCTAAGACATTAGGTGCACACATGGTGAGATTCTACTATAATACATTTCAGTTGCTGCTGCAGAAACCCCTTGTACTTGTCTTAAAGTTCAGTTTAACTAATTTCTCCAATGTGAGGTCAATCTTTTCCTTTTAAAAACCTAACAAGGTGAGTAAGCCGTGGGGCATTATTAGTCTATATTAGTTATGCACTAAATCACGGCTTGGCAGAAATTGGGGTGGCAAGAGTCAAGTAATTAACTCAAAAAAAAATCAGGACGCTATCCCTGAGGGTGAGAGGATCTTCAAAACGTGTTATCTGTGTTGAATTTCATGTGCATGCATTCTAGAAGGCATTTATGTAGAAATAGCAACAATTTAAAGCTAACTTTGAAACTTCACAAAAGGATGTATCTAATACATAAGCTAACATGAGGAGGAAATAGAAAAACAACAGGACCAGAGACCATCTGACATGACATCGGACAACAGGGAGTTTCAGGTAAACTTAGAGTTCACTTAAATCCAAAGTCCTCATTTTATAGATGAGAACACTGAGGTCCAGAGAGGCTGAGTGAGTTTTCTTCTGAGGTGGATAAAATCAGTGGAATAGCCTGTTCTGATCTCCAGGTGTGACTGTTCATTGGGTCTAGAGTTGACCTCTATGATTCTCTAGTTACCTTTTAGCCCACTTTGCTATTTGAGGTTTCAAATTATATTTTTGATGTTTCCGGTAGGGGGTGCAGCATCTTCTACTATGTGCATCTACATTGCATGCCTGTGGAGCAACACAGAGATTGTTTTCTGATAAAAATCAGCCAAGTACTAGGAGAGGCAGGACTTTAGAAGTGGAGGAGATGCAGAAGGAAGCTTAGGTTACTATGGAGTGTGCAAAAGAAGTCCTGTGGATTTAGATAACACCACACACAAACCGCATGTAATATTCACTTGATGGCAAATCCACTAGAGGGATCTAACAGCATTGACCCATTCTCTGGTCTTCTAGCATCCATCATAGTTTTGTGCTCCTTTTCCATGAAATACGTTTGTTGTTGGAAAGTAGGTGCCCAGATAAGGACTGCATTTCCTCTAGCCTCGAGATGAGACCAAATGACTGCTGGCCAATGGAACCAAGTGGAGAGGACTGACTCCAGTTCCAGGTTAGGCCTCCAGCTGCTCTGGGCATGTCGATGGAACAGAACCACCACCTCCACCCCATTACCACCAATTCAACTTTACATGAATTATAAGCGAGAAATAAACTTGGACTGTGTTAAGCCATTGAGTTTCCGGGGTTTAACTGTTATTATAGTTAACAATGACTTTAATACAGTCAATGACATCTAACTGGAATTATGAAATTCAATTTCTACTTAGAGTAATTGAAGCAAAGGTTGTGGAGGAGGGGAAGGGGGCAGCACACCATGAAATCAGAGATCCCCAGTATGAGTTAGTTCGTCAGTCAATCAGTCTTAAGGTCAGGGTGTAGCGTGGGCAGCAGTTGCCTCCCTCTCCCCACAGAACACCCTGAGAACAGGAAGTTAGAGTAGTCGCATCTTGTTACTTACAAAACATTACCCCAAAATGTAAACTACCCCCTGGACCCAAACTCTCTACAATCACCAGGTTTCACAAACTATAATCTGCTTTCTGGAAAAAAATATTAACCTGCTAAAATTCCCTGCACAGAGAGGCAGCTTTTTCTGGGAGGTATTCCTGAGCTCATTTTGCCAACTTCCAGATGAACAAAACTAAAGTTTCTTTTTGCTTCTTCCAAAAATATACATTATCACATAACATTTACAACTTGAAAAAGAATCCTAGAATATTTTCACGAATAATAATTAGAAGAGTAATGTTCACATAGGAAGGGCGCCTTTTCTCTGCTGTGTGCATAGGACCCTGAGACCCTGGGATTTACTTATGAGCCAGTCACATGGAACTTGGTCAACTCCTCCAAAATGCTCCCAGCGCTCACAGGGGCTGCCTTGGTGTTTGGAAGGAGGTGATGCCAAAGCAGTTGGTTTGCTGGATTTTGACTTTCTTGTTTTAAAGTGGTATTTGCAAATACTACCCCAAGGGCAATGGTTAATGGATTTAACCTTTGGGTCATGGGGGCCAGGAAGCAGCACTCACGGAGGCTGTGTGTGTGTGTGTGTGTGTGTGTGTGTGTGTGTGTGTGTGTGGTGTGGGGTGCTGACTGAATCTGCCACTCACCTCTCAGGCCTTAGGAATACCAAAGATTCTCACCTATGATTGGTGGTGATGGTGGGAGTGGTCCTTAAAACTTCTGTATAGAAAATCACAGCGGAACAGACCAGAAGGACCACTGATGGGGCAAGGTGAACCTGGACTCAGAGTTCTACAGCAAAGGCTGTCCACAACACTACTTACTACTCAGGAGAGCTTCTAGTTGGCCTTCTCAAACCAGAGAGCAGTTGTACTGGGGGTAAGGCACTGCTAGGGTTCTCTGCAGGACACACATGCGATGTTAAGGAATCTAGCTGTGGGCAACACGGAGATGAAAAATAGTTGGCCACAATCAGTCAGGTGAGAGGTAGCACAGTGTAAGGACAGCAGGCTTTGCAATGTAATAGACCTGGGTTCAACTCCTAGTTTTGCCACACTGTTTTTCTGGGTGGTCTTGGACAAGTTCTTTCTCTAATCCTCCCCATCTATAATTGGGTCTGAACACTCACCATACCACCCAGGACTGCTGTAAGCATTCAGTGAAATAGCATGTCTGATAAGAAGAAGGCACTCGATCAAGGAAGGGCAGCCACAGAAGCCTTCGTGCCATGGTTAGTGGAACTCAGAGGGAAGGGTTCTGTATGTCCCAGTTGTTTGGGCCTTACAATAATAATAAAATTCATTTTAGCACTCTCTCTCTATGGAGTACTTCTTATCTTCTTTTTAATTCTGGTATATCCTAAGAAAAGATTACAAACAATTCTAAAATGGAAACTTCACTCTACTTCAATACAGCAGATTTCCCTGGGCTCCTGGTTGGGCACAGAGTGAGTGGCTGGAAGAGGGGAATCTGTGGACGTGGAGAGTAAGTTAGTGGAAAAGAGCACTCAGCAGGAGCCAGGCTGGGGCAGTTGTGCCGATGCTGGGGAGAGGAGAAGTGGAGGAAGCTGTGCTAGGTAAGCGTTTATGCTCTTTCTTCCCTTGCCTTTTCTAAGCCATAGTGCTATTAATTTTGGTTGCTCTATTGACATTTCAAAATGTTAGTCTTCCCTTCTCCTGGTGTTTTTATTGTCAGAGGGATCCACCTGGTTCACCTTTGCTTCTGCAGAGGCTCAACACTGCCCTTGTGTTTTGAAACATAAAGCTACCCTCAATGGATTTCCAAGGTGAATCCTGCAGCTGCATCCATCCCAGACACTGGGGCTTTGAACGCCTGTGGAGAACACCTGCAGATGCTGGGCCTCGCCATGACCACCGGAGGCTCAGGGGTTAGCACACCGAGTCCTCACCGCCAGGAGGCCACAGAAACTCCCAGTGCTGACAGCAGGTGGGAGCCTCTCAGGCGGCATCCACCAGCAGCCTCTGCCCTGCTGGAGAGTGCCAGGCTTTGAGCCCACCTGCCTAGGGACTGCCCACCTGCTGGGGAGGGGTGGGGCTGCAGAGGGCCACTGGGCTTTTGGGAATTGAGGTTCTGGGAGCCCCAGGCCTTAGTCTCACTGTAGCCCAGTTCTGGTATTTTCAAACTTTTCTCCAGCAGAGAGAATGCTAATATCCCACAGTTGCAGCATTGTTCAGGGCACTAGAAGAATTGGGGCTTTCTCTCCAAATAACAATGAGTATTTCTTCTGAGCCTTTGTGATAAGAAATGAGAAAGAAAATCATTCCTAGAGGCAGAAGCAGAAAACCATCTCAACAAAAGGCAGAAACGTTTCATTATGCATTATTACTCTTTCAGATGAGCATTTCTGCCAGCCCATGCTAGGTTTAGAAGAAAGTGGCTTTTAAGTCTTAGATTATTATGGCCACATCTTGTTTTAGGAAGGAAACATCTGATCTGGGGCAGCTGCCGGATGAGCTCTTCTGTGCTTTTGTCCATGCTCCCAGCTGGCAACCTGCTCCCTTGAAGTGCATTGTGATGCTGAGTTTTGCCACAGGCTGTCTTTTGCGGGTGGCTGTGATATGGGAATCCCTGTGAGGAGCAGCCGCCGCCCCTCCAAGAGAAAAAACCCAGGTGTTTCTACGGAATGTGGTTTTACAGTGAGTTTCTCTGGTATCCTTTGAACAATGCACATATTTCCTCTGTGAAACAGTTGCAAAGTTAGAATTGCAGGACTCCAGAGATAAATTTCAGTAATTCCCTCTTCCTTTTATTAACTAAAAAATAAACAAAACTTAAACCTCGTGGGAGCAGCATTTAATACACAGAGAAAGATAAAAGAAGCAGGAATTACCCATATTCTGCAAGGTTTAGTAAAAAAAAAAAAATCAACACTTATTTACAGAAAGTGTCTGAGTGGGGTTCTGGCTGTTCTGAATGAGCAGGACCTACACAGATATGAAGGAGCTGTCTGGACCCGCGGAGCCGCTGAGCCTTGTGGTTGAGTGGGCAGGCTCTGGATTATTTCACACTCAGCAACCCATTCCCCTGGGTGCCCCTGGGCAAGCCATGGATCCCCTCCATGCCTGGTAGGAAAAATGGGGATAACAATAGCAGCCCCTTTATCATGGGGTTACTATGGATGCAAAGCAAACCATAGGTCCCCAAGGCCAGGTCCTTAGGGACCTCTGGTTACTCTTGTTATATCAGGGGGCCCTGCAGTTGCACCTGTACCAGTATGTAGAAGAGATGTTGATATCTGCACACATTGTTAACAGTTGGGGGGGAACAACCTTTTAGTCTCATTTCTATTTTCCTCTTTCCCTCACTTTGGCTTGTCAATCTGTTTCTTCTTTCTCCTGTTTTCTATCCCCTGCCCTGCCCCCTGTCTCAGCACTTCACTTTCCTGCCCTCTCAGAGCTGAAGCCTCAGTGGGAGGTGCCTGGTCCCAGAGAAAGGGGCCCCTTCTGGGCAGCCTCGCAGGGCAGTCTCACGGTCGGCCCCTGTCTCTCCAGTTGCTTCCGTGCTGAGCACAGCCACTGACCTGGTGCAGCCTGGTCCTCGGGCTCTCCCCTTCTTGCTCGCTGTAGTACATCTCCTGTATGCCGTTCTTCCTGTGCTTAGTGATAAGCATGTCCCCTCGCTTCCTGGAATTAGACAGTCAGCTTCCCTCTCCCAAATCCCCAGTTCTCCAAGCTCAGAATTCTCTCCCTCCTCTTTGGTCTAATTTCCCTTTCATCTCTCACTTTGCAGACTTGGCCCAAATCCTTAACTCCGTGTGCATCTTAGGCAGCCTCCCTAGCCTCTGCCCTCGGCAACCCTGCCTTGCCCCCACCCCCATTCCTGTCCTTTCACAAACAGCAGAAATTCTATCACCGTCTCACTTGGAACAGTGTCAAATCTCTCCTCCTTCTAACAAAAGCATCATTCCTGTCATTTATCCTGAGACAGAAAAGCACATCCACAGAAAAGAAGGTCATTTCAGCTGTAGCTCTTTGGCAAAGACTCTCATGCCCCTTGAATCATATAGAAGGTCCTCATCCCCCACTTCACACTGGCCCAACTCAGAAGCCTCCTACCTACCATTCCATAGTTTTGACCAGATCTTCATCCTCTAGATTCCCCATTCTCTCCCAAAATGGCTAACAAAGTTTTGTTCTAGCTCAAATAGGCTACCTGGGAAGAGGCAAAAAGGTTAGATTCAGTTGTGTCTTCCAGTGATGACCTTTGATTCACACCTTTTTCTTCTTTTTTTAAAATAATGATTTGAGTTAATCAAACAATTAAGGGCTTACCCTACAGAGCCCCTAATATTCTCTTAATTTTGGGGAGGTCTAATTTGCTTTGTCCAGTGGGGGGTGTGTGTGTGTGCACGCGTGTGTGCATCTGTGTACCTGATGTTTCAGTACGCTTTCTCTTTGTACTCAAACTCTCTCCCTCATAGCAATATGAAGAATGATGATTGCTTTTTGTTGTGCCTAGTAAGCTGCTCTCTACTCAATGAATATTGTTACTTGACTCCCATTACAACTCTGGGGGAATCTGGATTCACAGAGCAATAGAACCTTCTTACCAAATCTGGGGTGTGATTGTAATTTTACTTTTGAAGCACCCACTTCCCAGAGGAATTGCCCATGATGGATGCCACTGTCAGGAACCCAGATGCACACGCTCATGCATCAGCCAAGAAATCACATAAACAGCCCTCCCAGCAGGCCAGGGCTGATGCACCCATTGCTCCCCTATGGAAAGAGATGTGTCAAAAAACTCAGGGCAGCAGCAAGAAAGAGGCAGAGAAGAAGGAGGTGGGAGAGGATGGGTTTTTGCTGGTCCACCCAGGATTTTTCCTTCCTCATCTTTCTCTGAGGGCAGCAGCAGCAGCAGGCTAAGGTTTGGGTTTGTGGTTCAAAAGCTGTGTGACAGGATCATGGGGAGTTGTCTGGAAACATTTCTCCTGGGAGTGTGCTGTCAGCTTGTTTTCATAGTGCACATGAAGGGAAACATTCTGCTCTATACACATGCCTTTATCCTTATATAGGTACAGGTGATGTCTACGTTTTCCTGTGGGATGAATGTGGCCTACCTAGGCTAAGATCACGCTATGACATTTAGTCTCTTTGAAGAGCAAGTCTGTGTTGATTCCAGCAGGATGGGGCAGCAGGGGCTGGTTGCCAAGATGTCTGAAAACAGAGGATACTACTGGAGTGGAGGAGTGGAAGCGGCCCAGCGGGCCCACTGGTAGCCGTGAGTGTTAGGATAGCTTATCGGTAGCGGCAGGCCAAAGCATTGACATTCTTGACCACATAAAAGCCCATGGTGACTGGAGGGATGACCAATGTCCGGCCGGCCCGAAGGGGGCGGGGCTTCAATTCTGGGAGGGTCCCGTCGTCCACCATCACTAAGGGCTGGCCATTCAGTTGCACTGACCTACAGTGAGGAAAAACAGTATGGGACTCATTATTGCATTATAAGGGAGCCATTGCAACAAAGCCTAGCCCCAGATGGCCTGGCAGTGTCTGATACACACATACAGCTAACACTTATTGGCACTGGCTATGCCCTAGATTCTGACCTAGGTGCTTTACTTTAATAACTCATTCAAACATCCCAACAACCCCCAATTCCCCGCCCCCCGAGGTAAGGAACTATTAATATCATTATCCCCATTTCATTTAGAGTGGCTAGGTGACTTGCCCTAAGTCACACAGCTTGAAGGTCCAGGGTTTGAGCCCAGGTAGTCTACCAACAGAGACACATCTAGAGAAGTGAGAAGTCTGTGACGCAGAGACTGTAATGCTTCGTTCCTATCTTTTTAAAATCACAATATCAGCACAGTTTGACTTTTTCACCTAAAGAGTTTTTACCTGTGGAATGATACATGGGCTTAAGATGACTTCAGAAATCTATATAATTCATATCTCATTAATTTACTTGACAGATGAGATAACCTTGCTTGTCTAGGGTTATACAGAAGGGAGACAGAGACATAGGTAACAACTCTACTTTTTCTTTTTTTTTGAGACAGAGTCTCGCTCTGTCCCCCAGGCTGGAGTGCAGTGGCACGATCTCGGCTCACTGCAAAACTCTACTTTTTCTAATTTAAGAATGAGTTTTGGCTGGGCGCAGTGGCTCATGCCTGTAATCCCAGCACTTCGGGAGGCCGAAGAGGGAGGATCGCTTGAGTCCAGGAGTTTGAGACCAGACTAAGCAACATAGCGAGACCCCATTTCTACAAACAAAATAAAAGCAAAATTAGCCTGGCATGGTGGCTACTTAGGAATTTGAAGTAGGGAGGATCACCTGAGCCTGGGAGGTTGAGGCTGCAGTGAGCCAAGATTACACCACTGTACTCCATTCTGGGTGACAGAGAGAAACTCTGTCTCAAAAAAAAAAAAAAAAAAGAAAGAGTTTTCATATTTAATATTAACAGATGTTTCCATTTAGCAAAACAGCAAAGTAGGTGATAAAGTAGGCACTTGTGATCACAATTCGCCTATCTTGCTTTTATTCTTTCTGTATAGCCAGCCACTTTCACCCTGAAAAGGTGGACCACATACATAGCAAACTGAGAAAAGAGAAACCACTCATCTTATGCCGGATGAGAGGGAAATGCCACCTATCCTTGACATCTGGTACCAGAATCCTGATAATGTTCCAGCTGTTTCTGACAGCCATGCACCCAGGTGGAAGCTTAGTTTTATGGGTCAATAGGAAAGGCCAGAAACAGGCCACCAGCTGGAAATAAGATGGTGAGTCACCCTCAGCAAATCAACATTGCATAGTGATGACGGTTTCTGGGCCTTGCCCAACCTCCAGTGTGATAACATTGCTGTGATATCATCTGAGCTGTAAAGAGAATAAAATGTTATAAATTGATATAAAGGTCTTTGTTTAGTGTTTCTTTGTGGTATGAGTGATAGACAAGGTTAGAGAGAGATAATCAGACCCATGCCCAATAGAGCAGTGAATTCCCCGAGATAAGTGTGTTGTAAATTGCTCCCAGTGGAGAGCTAGGCAGAGAAGAGATCCAGGCCTGGCCCCACACGGCTAAGTTTGGGCTAGGTCCAAACTTAGGCCAGAGGGAGCAGGCCCCCTTCTCTTGCTAGAATGACTGAGTGAATAAGTGTGTAGGAGGCTCCTGTATGGAGAGCGAGGCCTGCCTCTGGAAGGCGTGGGGATGGGAGAATTGAGATCTGAAGGTCAGTGTTGACTGCATCAGATATGCAAGGAGCTTTTGCTTCCAAATATGAGAAGTGACCCTCTCTAGTAAAGACAGCCTACTCACTGGAGTGGAAGGCAGGGTGAGGAGAGTGGTTCAGTTAAGTTACAAAAGAAGCCCAGCTGGGTCTTCACAGTGTATTTTCATTATTTTGTTTCAGGTGCTGTGAATATTTATCACCCAGACATAAGCACAGTCAAATACAAGTTCAATAATACTGATTAATCTTTCTAAGGCATACTCAAATTTATATCAAATCTCTGCTCGAAAGCCTTCAGTGGTTTCTCCCATACACAGAATTCGGTGCAAACCTTTCTTCTGAAGAATTAGGTAATGCCCTTTTAGGTTCAGATGATCCCAGAGTATTGACATCTTTGGGTTCTGGGGAGTGCAAAACAATGTGTGATAAGCAAACCTTTAACAATCTATACTAATAAGGAGTAGTTATCCTGGGACAGGCCCTATTCTGGTTTCTTTATTGGTTGGTTAAAAAGCTAAGAGTAGAACCAGGAAGCATGGTGAAGATTCTCCACCGAAATCTGTAATTCCAGGAGCCAAGTCGCTAACTAGCTAGATGGCTTTGGCAAATCCCCTAACCTCCCTGCCCTGTTGCTTTTGCATCTGTAAGAACGTTATATAGGCTGTAACACCAAATAAATGAAATAAGAAATATGAAAGTGCTTTGAAAGCATAATGAGCCACATACTTAAGATATGATTTTTTGTTGTTGTTATTCTTATTCTTTTTATTTATTTATTTTTTTGAGATGGAGTCTCGATCTGTCACCCAGGCTGGAGTGCAGTGGCACATTCTTGGCTCACTGCAACTTATGCCTCCTGGGTTCAAGCGATTCTCCTGCCTCGTCCTCCCGAGTAGCTGGGACTACAGGCATGTGCCACCACACCTGGCTAATTTTCGTATTTTTAGTAAAGACTAGGTTTCACCATGTTGTCCAGGCTGGTCTCAAACTCCTGACCTCAAGTGATCCACCCGCCTTGGCCTCCCAAAATGCTGGGATTACAGGTGTGAGCCACCATGTCTGACCTGTTGTTGTTATTCTTTTTAATGTCATTGTGGACAGATGCACTTTTTGGTCTTTATCATACCTGACTGCTCTGTGGTACTGACACTTTGCAAGGCTCCATTCTCAAAACCCTCTGTCCCCTTGGCTCCCATGATATTTCTCTCTGTTTTTCTCCATTTCTGGATGCTGTTTCCTTTTGAGAGGGAGCCGTTCCCCTCTGCCTGCTTCTCAGATGCCAGGGTTCCCAGTGTTTTGTCCCTGGACTCTTCCCTCCCCACACTCTGCACTCCTCCCGCAGTGCTGCTACTCCCACCCATGACTTCGGTTACTATCCACATGCTGATGCTCCCCAAGCCTGTGTCTCTACCCTACATTCTATGAACTTGTGTATCTCCACTTGGCTGTACACATGAATTTCAAAGTCACTACGTCCAAATTCAAAATCTTCTCCTCAAACTCTGTCCTTATCTCTGCTTTTATTCTTTTTTTAATCTTTGTGATGATATCGCCATTTATTAAATTACCCTAGCCAGAAAGCTGGGAGTCTTCTGAGACTTCTCCCCCAATGCCCATGTGTAGGGTAACTACGTTAAAATAATTCGACCTTATAATGTTTTTCAAATCTGCTCCTTTTCCTCCATTCACTGCTATGTTTTTAGTTCAGAACTCGCCTCCTAACCTATCTCTGGGCCGCATTGCTGACAGCTATCTGTTGTCGCTGCACTGCTTCAAACTTGCCAACACTCCCCTTCCCTTACACTTTATTGCGAACAATGACACCCAGCTCCAGCTACCTCTCCAGTCTCAGATCCCGCCAGGCCCCTCTCCAATGCTCACTGTGGATCGCAGACCGCTGGGAGTGGGTGTTGGTAGGAAGTTGCCAGTTATTGTAAGAATTTCATTAATAAATGCATACACAAAGATGAAGATTGAAAAAATTATGTCTTTCACAGAGATGAGGTAAATATTACTCAATGAAAATATAAGTAGATATTGTTGGGACTGAAATACACAAGTTCATTTAAAAGTATAGTAGGCTGGTGTGGTGGCTCATGCCTGTAATCCCAGCACTTTGGGAGGCTGAGGCAGGAGGATCACTTGAGTGCAGGAGTTTGAGATTAGCCTGGGCAACATAGTGAGACCCCATCTCTACAAAAAAATAAACAAAATTAGATGGGTGTGGTGGTACATGCCTGTAGTCCCAGCCACTTGGGAGGCTGAGGTGGGAGGATTGCTTGAACCCAGGAGGTTGAGACTGCAGTGAGCTGAGATTGCACCACTGCACACCAGTCTGGGTGACACAGCGAGACCCTGTCTCCAAAATAACAAAAAGGTGGAATATATTTTTCAGGCCAGGTGCAGTGACTCATGCCTGTAATCCTAGCATTTTGGGAGGCTGAGGTGGGTGGATCACGAGGTCAGGAGTTTCAGACCAGCTGGACCAACATGGTGAAACTGTCTCTACCAAAAATACAAAAATTAGCCGGGTGTGGTGGCACACACCTGTAATCCCAGCTACTCAGGAGGCTGAGGCAGAAGAATTGCTTGAATCCGGAATGCAGAGGTTGCAGTGAGCCGAGATTGCACCACTGCACTCCAGCCTGGGCGACAATGTGAGACTCTGTCTCAAAAAAAAAAAAAAAAAAAAAAAAAAAAAGAAAATATTTTTCAAATGTAAATGCTAGTCAGCAGTTTTGGGATTAAAACATAAGTTCATTTAAAACTGTTCTTCAATTCCCAATAGATTTTTTTGGGAGAAGAGGGTATCATATACTTTTTAAGAAATAGATTTTAAAAGGACAATTACTATAATGTGGAAGGCCATGACATTTGTTGACACTTAAAAGGAACCCGCATGCTTGAACAGGCCCAGCCCCCGTGCCCTAGTATGACCAAATTAAATGACTTGCAGTTTTGCTTCTGAGTCGTTGTGTCATTGTGTGTGGTGCTCCCTCCAGCTGTCCTCCTCTGCCAGACTAACTGCAGTGGATCCTTGCAGAGTCTGTGTAGGTGTTGCCTCCTCTGGAGAACCTTCTCTGACCCCTAGGTTGGGTTTGGAGTCCCACCTCTGGACTCTCTTAGCACTCCAAAGTTACTTCTAACTGTGGCCCTTATTATAGTGAGTTACTTGTTTGATCCCTCTCTGGGCTATGAATCCTCAGTGCCTAAAGAGGTGCTTGGCAC